AAACAACAGCTTAAATATTATACTCCGTTCATATAAACTGCGGCAAAGGAAACTAGCCTAGCTCCTCAAGCTCTCCAATCAACTCCTCTCACTTAACTCACTTGATCAACTTAAAGGATACACTCCTATAATTTTTGAGGACATTGATGTTTTAGCAGCATTAATTAGGCACTCCCTGCCCAATTCATCTGTGTTAATAACAAGATTTTCATTGATGTAGCGTACAGCTTCCCTGCAGAATAAAGACAAATACTGGTAAAGAACTACCCCAACAAAAAGACAAAAAACTTACATTCATGTTTTCAGCCCCGTTAAATAACACCATAAAGAACAAAGAGATGAAATCAATTCACCTCCTTGGACAATAATGAGACTGCAGAAATACAAGTGAAAAAACCCCAAACCAAACCAACAAGAAGCCCAACAACACCCCCCACAATAAATCACCGTATCCACTTGGCACCAAGGAATCTGTATTAATACAGTCACAAATTTAACTGTATTAGTTTCTTACTTGCAAGCAAGTCGGTATCCACCAATGATGGAGGTAGGATGAATTTTCTGTTTCACCAGCTCATCTGCATTTTTGAGAAGTTCTGCAGCAATGATTACCTGTTTGAAATACAAACATTAAATATATTCCACATAAACAAAATAACTACCTGGTGCACCCTGAACTATGAACGGTTTCCAACATCAGGTGAAAGCCAATTGATTCCACCCCCCACCAAGCTGTCTAAAGTCTCAGGCAAGTTTTCAACACTCAGCATCCTTGTTAGTCCTAACACTTTAATTTCTCATGGTTGTTAAAAATTAAAACCCTTGATTCAGCCTCTACTATCAATCTTTCAAGAAAGAAAAAGTAAGTAACAGAACTGAAGGAAGCAAATTTCCTTCCTGAGCACCAGTTGCATACATAAACTAGCACCTTTAGAAAAATGCAAAGTCTGTTTTTTTTACTTCTACAACCTACTTTAAAAAACCGCTTACAGTCAACCCCAAAGTTCTTAATTCTATGTCGTTGATCGACACTGCATCGATATTCATAACAGGTAAATGAAAAGCCGCACTGTGATAATAATAAAACACTAGCTTTTGATGTATCTGCCTGTAAAATTTTCTACGTACCACTGAGGTGGTCCCATCACCAACTTCTTTGTCTTGCAGGTCTGCCAGCTCACAAAGAACTTTTGCAGCAGGATGTTCCACTTCTAGTAGTTTCAGAATGGTTGCACCATCATTAGTAATGGTCACGTCCTAATTTTCAGAAATCAAGTGTGAAAATTTCTATTACATTTTTACTTTCGTGTTTCTTAGCATTCATACAAAGGGAAGTTAATTATTCTTTGCAAATGTCCATAAAATAACTATTTATACCAAAAATTTCCTGCTTCTTTTTAACCAGAAGTCCCACTCTAACAGCAGATATGCTACCAATGCAGAATGTGCACTTCCTTTTTAACAGAAAAGCCTTCATGTTACAGAATCTCATCAAACATTTTGCACATACCTTGGTAGTAGCTGGGCAATGACTACCCTCTAATACACAGTTTTATTACAAGAGTCTGGAAAATGACAAACGTTCTTCAGTTGCTTGAAATATTTTAAAATACAAAATATTGCCTTAAAATCATTATGGGATTATTTGAATTGGTTTTTTTTCTTTGGTTATTTCTCCTGATGTGGAGACCAGAATCTGACTTGAATGGTGATACTCGCTTCTTGGAATCTGATGACATATTTAAAGTGGTGACAAGCACTTACATACAGAAAAGATACAACTGTACCACATAAACTACCACAACAGATGAGACTAAAATGACGTAGCATACATTGCCTGATAGTCAATTTTACCATAGTTCTCCTATACCCCTGCTCAGAAACATGGGAAAAAAAGTCACGTGCACATTAGGACTATGAAGCACAGTAAGTGGCAGCACTTTTACACAGGAATACAAGTTCTCATGACATTTCTTAAAGGAAGCTTACTTACCCCTATATCATCCACCAGCATCTTATCCAGACCAACTGGCCCAAGAGAACTCTTCACAATATTGGCAATAGCAGATGCAGCAGTAACTGAATAAATGAAATTAAAAAAGAAAGGATAAAGTTTTATCTTTCAGCTTCAGAGCGAGTCTCAGGTTTCCAAGAACCCATTATTCAAAAACTAGAAATAAAGTGATCTAATTTAGGAGTAGGTTTCAGCCTATCTAACCTGAAGCTTTAACTTACTTTGCTATGCTTGTTGCTACTAAAAAATACACTATTTCTGCCAAACCTTACTCTTCCTTTCAAGCTGGTTTAGCTAACTAACCTGGCAAAACTGACTGATAGGAAAAAACCCCTTTTTGTGCTGGCTGGGTAAAATGGAGGACAGGAGTGAGGTCAGACGAGCAGAATACTGGTGCTTTTTTGACTGCAGCAAGTCACACCATGAGACTTCACTCTCATTTACTCAGTTCTCCCCAGAGATCCATGGTATCACGATATATCAATTAGTAAAACACCTTTTTGCTCCGTGACTGAAATAAAACACTTACTCTGCAACTAAGTCACCGAAGCAAAAAGGTGACCTTTAAGTCAAAGTAACACAAAGCTAAAATATGGGCTCATTCAAAGGTTGTTCTGCCAACTTCATATAGGAAAAAGATACAATCAACCTTTTCCTTCAGACCGTGGCAAGTTTTTCTCTATCCCACAAGCATAGCCACTTAATCTAGAAAATGAAAAAGTGGTAGTATAATGGGAATAGTTACAACTCAGAGACCTTCGCTTCGAACAATGCAGCTGTTGCTTTCGCTTTACAGGAGTAATGCCAGCTTTCTAGAAGAAATAACATTGTACCAAAGGTCCCATTATCAACTGCAATCTCAGTCGTGAAATAAGGCCGTTCTCATTTTAAGTATTCTGCCTAAAGCGTCACCAGAGCTGCAAGGCTCTCAGGATCATCAGCAGGGAGGTCTTCAGCTTCTTCCTTTGTCTTTTATCTACTCAGAATCTGAAATGGGTCTCGGAATTTGCAGCACCCTCCCGCGACTTGGGGTACAATCCTGAGCGATGGGGAATGTGTTTGAGAACCACGTTCTCACGACCGAGATTGCAGTTCATCAAGAGCCACACTCACCCCGAGGACGGTCCCTACTTCCAGAAGCAAGTTATTCCCCTGGGCTGGTTAGCGGGCCCCTTCCGCCGCCCGGCTCCTCGGCCAGCCCGCAGGCCTTGCCGCTTCGCACCCTGCGCGGCCGGGACGGAACCGAGCGACCTCCGCCCAGCAGCCACCCTGCCCCCGATGGGTGTCGCTACCTAAAGGGAGGAGGGCGCGGGACGCAGGATCCCCCCCGCCACTCCGGCGCCCGAGAGCGGCGCGGGATTGTGCGCGCCCCACGTGTGTCCGCAAGGAAGGAGCAGTGTTCTTCCCCCGCCTTCTTTCCCTCTCCGCAGGCGGCAGCGGCCCGCGGCGCAGGGAATCTGGCGGGAGGGCGCGGCCGCTCCCGGGCAAGCACATGGCGGCGGTGGCCACAGCCGCGCCATGTTCACTCCCTCTTGCCCCTCCCTTCCCCCCCCGCCTCGGCCGGTCCCCTCCGGGGCACGCCGCCGTTACCGTTCTGCGTGCGGACCGTATCGCCGCTGGTGCGCTCGCCGAACACGGCCAGGGGCCCCTCCATGGCCGACATGTTCGCGGCCGGCCGCGGTACTACAGTCACAGGAGAGGCAGGCAGGGAGCGGCGCGATAGCCCGGGCGGCGCGAGGCACGCTGGGACCCCGCCCTCCGCTCCGCCCGCCAGAGGGCGGTGGGACAGGGGCCGGCCCTGCCAGCGCTGGGGGGGCGGAGACATCCCGAGTCTGACCAATCCTGGGCCTCGGCACCGCCCAGCCTCGAGCCGCGATTGGCGGGCGCGGCTGAACAAAGCCGGCGCGCGACGAGGGGCGGGGGCGCTTCCAGGAGCTTCTAGAAGGTGGCGGGGGTATGCGCGCGCAGGCGCGGGGGGTCCCCCCCCGGTCTCGGGGGAAAGAACGGGCGCGGAGTGGGCGGGGAGCGGCGGCGGGAGATCTGTGCTAACCAGCCTAGGGGAATAACCTGCTTCTGGATGTAGGGACCGTTCTCGGGATCTTTAACTGTGGTTCTCAAACGCGTTCCCCATCGCTCAGGATTGTACCCCAAGCCCTGGGGGAATGCTGCGTATTCCGAGACCCATCTCAGATTCTGAATAGATAAAAGACAAAGGAAGAAGCTGAAGACCTCCCTGCTGATGATCCTGAGAGCCTTGCAGCTCTGGTGACGCTTTAGGCAGAATACTTAGAATGAGAACGGCCTTATTTCACGACTGAGATTGCAGTTGATAATGGGACCTTTGGTACAATGTTATTTCTTCTAGAAAGCTGGCATTACTCCTGTAAAGCGAAAGCAACAGCTGCATTGTTCGAAGCGAAGGCCTCTGAGTTGTAACTATTCCCATTACACTACCACTATTTCCACAGACAGCGGAGCGAGGCTGCAGGAGCCGAGGCCGGCAGTGACGCGGGCCCGTGTGCCCGTCCGGCGGCGGCAGACCCGCACCCGCCGGGCACAGCGGCACCGTGAGCAGCGCCACGGAGCTCTTGCAGCGGCTCGGGCCTCTCCGCCCCGCGGTCCGCGCAGCCGCTGGGACCTCTCCGCCCACCCTTGCCATGCCCCCAGCTCCCGCTCTCTTAGGCCCGTCCCAAGAGACGCAGACCCCGCCTCTGCGACCCGGGTATCTCCCTCAAGCCCTCTTCCCACGGGAGGGAAGAGCTAAAAGATGACCCCCCCCTCGAGTCGGGGGAGTGTTTTCTGCCCTATTCTGTGAGACGTGACCGACACCAGAGCACAGCTCCCCGGGGAGTTCGGGGTGGAAGCGGCCCTCGGCTTTCGCTCGGCGCTTCCGCCCGCCCCCGCCCGCCCCGGGTGGAATTCCCGCGGCCGCTTCCGCGGGAAGTGCCGCCCCGCGCGCATGGCGGCGCTCGGGTGTCCGTGAGCGGGGGGAGCGGAGGTGACGCCGCCCGGAGCTGTGGGAGCGCCGGCTCCCCATGGCGCTGAGCAGCCCCAGCCGCCTGCTGCTGGCCGCCGACCGGCTCCGGGCAGCGGGTAAGCTCACGGGTCGCCGTGCCGGCCGCTCCCGGCGGGGCAGCGCTCCCGGGGCCTCTTGGCGGGGCTGCAGTGCCAGGGAATGAAAGATTATGCCTTGCTATTCGGTAGCGCTGTCATTGGTTCCCTGTGTTATTCGTTTGCAGTATTTTGTAAAGCCTTGGTCCTAGGGGTTTCGTAGTCACGTGTGTGTTTATATTCTAGATATGTGTTTTAAAACAGCCTTTACATACTAGCACTTCACCTCATAAATTTGAGAAATAGGCTGAGATCTTGTAATCCATCTAAGCATGTTAAAAAAAAAAAAAAAACGGATTTTGCTCTGTTCACTTTTACATGCTGTACCATTCTGTACTCTATTCATTCTACTGTTTGCACTACATTTTTTTTAATCTGTGTGGGGTTTTTTCCTGCTCTCCCCCCAAGGTCTTCGTTTTGCATCAACTACAGCCCACCTCAAAACTGAGACTGAAGTGGACACAAGCGAAAATGAGATTGTTGCCCCAGACTTCACTAACAGAAATCCTCGGAACTTGGAGCAGTTGGCTCTGGCCAGGAAGGAGCGTGGCTGGAAGACAACGTGGCCAAAGCGTGAGTTCTGGCATAGGTGAGTCAGAAAGTCACCAGCAGCAATGAAGACTCCAAAAGAAAAAAAAAAAAAAAAACAAACCCCAGAAACCCACCAGGTAGAAACTATTCAAAATGTGTTTTTTAGGTTGCTGCATCAGTTGTCATGCTAGTGTTTATTAATGAGCAGGTATCTTCTGTGTTAAGAAAACAGCAGACTGGCATCACATGAAGGTCAGCAAGTGCAGTGAAGATCTTTCCACCTCTCATTAACGCAGCAGTAATATTTCTTAAGCAAATGCTTTTTAACTCAGGATTCTCTTAGCCCTGTGCTGACCAGCTTCATTGTTTTATTTGAGACAACATAATTGTCTGGGGTTTTTTCTTTGTTGGGTTTTGGGGTGGAGGGGGTTCGGTTGCTTTGTTGAGCTGGTTTGTTTTTTATTTGCTTGTCCTCTAGAAAATAAGTTCATTTTAATCTAGGGTTTCAAAATCATTGTTTTATTCTTGAGGGGAAATCTGCATTCAGTTTGTTCACGCCGTCAAATCTGGTAATCGTCTCAGTGCAGTAAGAAACGGTTACTCCTAATAAATACTTTGTAGTTATGTGTAGAGATTTATGAGGTACTCTCTGCCCTTGCAGATTTCAACAAGTTTTTACCTGCTGTGGCAGCACAAGCATCTAAGAGCCTGTATAGCAGCCCTAAAGCTCCAATTCTGCTGTAGCAGTTGCTCTTGTCTAGCTCATATGTACCTGTTCCACACTGTGCAGGTGTACAGTGCTTGATTTGGAGTGTGTGCTGGTCTAAGGCAATGCAGGACCTGAGTAACTGATGAAAAGTTGCTCTTGGAATTTCACTCTTCTCAACTAGTAATATGAGTCCTATTTTTGTCCTAATAAGCAAAACCCTACATATAATATAATGTAATGTAATATAATATCATGCTAGTACATTCAGTTTTATTTCACAAAGGGAGTCATTTAAGCATATGAATGTGTTCTCTGGAAAAGACATCATAATCCCGTGTTATTTCTTTCCCGCACTCAGATTGCGGCTTGAGCGGACACAGCATTATATAGAAGCCTTTGTGGAGCGCTCCAATGGGGATGTTGTGGTATCTGCCTCTACCCGAGAGTGGGCCATAAAAAGACACTTGTACAGTCCCAAGGGAGTAGCCGCATGCAAAAACCTTGGCCGTGTAATGGCACAGCGCTGTTTGGAAGCAGGAATCAACTTTGTGAACTTTAAAGCCATTATCCCCTGGGAATATCGTTGTGACTCGGCAAGTACCCATCTCCTTGTTCCTTTGGCTCTTTTTTCCTTTTTAGGCATTAATTTTACATCCCTTCACTGTTAATTTTCTTCATGTGGTTTGACAGTCCCTCCTTGCAACACTCAAAAAAGCAGCTTTGACAAGCTGCAGTTCCTGGTAGCATGCTTCCATGCGGCTGTTAACCTCTGCCCTCCGTCTAACATGTCCTCACTGATATTTCAGTACAGATGGCTTTTCTTCATATTTATTCATGTCTCTATCTTTTAAACAAGATTCAGGAATTTGAAAAAGCAATGGAGGAGGGCGGTGTTGTTCTACGCGAGCCACGAAGAATCTATCGGTAAAATGGAGACTTCTAGGAAGACTTTCCAAGGAAAAATGATCACTTCTTAAAGTGTGTGTGTTGAAGGACCGGAGCTGGAAAAAATTGGAATGTATCATCTTAAAATAAAATACTTTTAAATGGACAAAATTGTGTCATATTCTTGATTCTAAAATGATCAACACCTTTAAGGCTCGAATAAACTTATCATAGTTCAGCCTAATAGGTTGACAGAATTTACTTCATAATTCAATTTAAAGTATATTTTGTTTTTAGTATTTCATTTCATTTGTTCTAACCTGAACTCTGAAAATGCTTTGATATTTGATCCCTGTATTTTGGCAGTCTAATTTAGCAAAATGTAGTCATTTTGTGAATGTTGAGAACTGTTATAAAGTGCATGAGCTAATCTTGGTAAAAATTATGGAATTTGCCTATGAAACTCATCCTTGTAGGTTTCCAGCAACCCTGACATTCTAGCTGCTTAACCTCATAGGCATAGGAGGAAAGCTGCACAAATACCAGCTGCAGGGAGTAAGAAACGCATTTGTCTTCTGTGGCTGCCTGCTGCTTGTCCACGGACTTGATGCTATCAGTGCCTCTGGCAGGTGATCGGCATCGAGTGTGTTCAGGGTGTGTCTCCCCCACAGTAAGTGTGTGAACCCCTCTGACAAGCAGCACCTGGTTCAGAGAAGCCAGGCTTGGTCAGTGCAACTCCCGTACCTTCATTCTGCTCGCTACTACGCGTTTGCAGCCTCGGGGAGAGGAGAAATGAACGCCGAGGTTGTGTGCCGGGGTTTAGCAGCGAGCGGCGTGACCCCGGGCCCGGTTCTGGCATCTGCACTAAGTCCTCAGCTCTCCACTGACGCGATTTTTAAAAAACACTCCCCGTCTCGTGTTCCCGGCGCCCGGATTGCCCTCGGACCTGCCGCGGTCCTGCCCTTGCTATGAATTGCTGAGGGCGAGTCCCGCCGCGCGGGGCAGTGCCGGGCACGCAGGCGCGGCGGGCCGGGGCCGCGGGGAGCCTGGCGATGGAGGTGGGCGCGGAGGCCTTCGCCCAGCTCCTGCCGCGCCTCAGGCGCCGCGTCCGCCGCGCCGCCTTCGTGGGTGAGCCCCGGGGGCGGCCTGCCCGCCTGCCTGCTCTGAGCCGTGCCCTCGGCCGCCCCTTGTCCGGTGCTTAGCCTTGTCCGGCGCAGGGGTGCGGGCACTGAAGTGTGTTGCAGCGGATAATGGCGCTGCTGTGCAAAGAAAGAGCGGGCGCCGAGGCTCAGGGTTTAAAACGGGCTGGACGGATTGGGAAGAGAGCCCTCGCTGAGCTGCTGGCCTCGGCTCGGAGGGCTGGGGGCTCCGGAGGTTATGAGGTTGTGGGGGCACACACACTGCACAGGGGAGGCCGGCCCCTCCTGTAGCACGTGTGTGTGGCTGTGCCTCATCCTGCCACGGGGATCAGGGAGCTGGAGATTTCAGTCCCACAGCAGTTGGTTGCCTTTTCTCTTGAGCCTGCTGCCGGTGGATTTGACAGAGGTTACGGTGAAGAGAAGTATTTGAGAGAGCACCGTCCTGGTGCTGGTGAAGTATGTGCCTCAAATTTCAAATTCTCTTGTGTTGTTTCTACCTCAACAGCTCTTGATACGGAGTTTACTGGCTTATATTCAACTTTCCCACAAAGCAGTGAGCCCAGGTAAAGCTGTTGGACTTGAAACGTGAGGGAGACCTGTTACTCTAGCTCTGTGAGAGAGCAACCTATGTGTAGTAAATCTTCATGTGTCCCCTCTCCTTTCCCCAATTCTGGTTTTTGTTCCTAGCCTGTTTGATTCCCCTGTGGAGCGGTATCTGAAGATTAGGCAGAGTGTTCAGCGCTTCACTGTTACTCAGCTTGGTAAGTGCTGCTCTGATACAGAAAGGGATCTCCTGAGGTCTTACAGGTAACCAGCCTTTTACCAATAGGTGGGTCCTGCAGGTGGCTCTGGCCGTAATATACTTGTTATGGAGACATTTGTTTGGGTTTTTCTTCCCCTCCCTGATGTTTAATACTATTAACTTTTTAATATTTTAAGTAATGTAATGTCAGGTGGGCTATATACTTTTTACAGGTCTAAAGTTGATTACATTTAAAGGTTGCAGTTAAAAATACAGGGCTTTTAAAGCAGAGGATGCAAGCAAGAAGCATATAATAGCAGCTCCTATTCAAAGCCACGTCATTTGATATAGCGCATGAGTAAGGGGACTATCAGAAGAAAATGAAGGGTACTATTTCTGATACTCCTAAAAAAACAGAAAAATCAACATGAGAATGGGCCTGTGGAGGAGGGCATTGACAGTTAAGAACCAATAAGAAATCAAAAAGAAAGCTCCAAAATCACTTGAAATGTTTTTCAGAGCCTTAGGGTATGTAAGATGTTAGCGTGCTCTTTAGGGACTAAGAAAAAACAAAACCTGAGAAGTTAAACCCATGTTTCAGTACTCTCTGGTGCCCAGCTCCTTCCGAACATTTTTGTAGTGTAGTTGGACCCACAGACCCATCTGTGCATGCATAGGTAGACAGTTTGATCACCAACTTGCCTCTTGCCCATAGCTCAAGCTTTGTTATTTAATCAGACTTGACTTATTTTCCCACTTAGCAGTAAAAACTTGTCCTTGTTCAGCTCACAGGGAGCTGACGAGTGGCCTGGCAGTTGCCGTTAAAATTTGCGCAGTGACATTAGTAAGTGGAAAACATGTACTTCATGAGGGCCTCCCCACATCCATTATCAAATTGCACACTGTCTGTAGGCATCCAGCTAAACTTTGCCATCTCAACGGAGGTTTCTCTTTTGCAGGGCTGGCAATATTCTCAAAAGAAAATTCAAACAAGTAAGTAGAAAAGCAGTTTTCTGTTATAATGAAGAGAGTGCAGTTGAGATTTTACACATCATCCCCTTGGGTGGAGTTATTTCTTGTCATTATCTTTGAGAGATACTCTTCTTTTTGTTTTAGGTATGTGGTGCATTCATACAACTTTTTTCTCTTTCCCTCAATGCTGGGAGTTAGAGATGTCGAATTCTCCCTCTCTGCATCTAGCATTCAGTTCCTGTCTCATTATGGCTTTGACTACAATAAGGTATGTAACCTCTCTGCCAGAAATCCAGAAGATAGGAAATCTGTGCAATTACATAAGAAATCAGGATTAGTATCCCTAAACACTATGTTTCTGGGGTAAATAGCATCTTGCTGAATGCATTATGCAGTTTGTTATCAACAGGGATAGTGAGTCCTGTCATTTCTGAACCAATGTAGAGGCAATAACCACATCTTTGTCAGCTTAAGACAGATTTTCCTGCCTCAAAAAACAAACAAAAACCCCAAAACCCCACCTATCTCTGGTGAGCTGATGAGTTACTAAACAGACCCCAATGAGTGTCTTTACTAGCCATGAAATTGGGGAAATACCAGTTTACCTGTGTCTCATGTATTGCCACATTTCTCATAAAATTCAGACTGTGGCATCCCATAAGAGTACTAGTTTGCAGTTTTGGACAGAAAGTATCTTATTAAAGGGAAGGAAAAAGCAGAGCAAAAAAAATTATTCCAGTTGACAAAAATCCTTTTCTCCATACATGTTGGATAGCCTACAGTTTGTTTGCCCTGGCTAACCTGCTAATTCTCTAATGTACTGCAAGAAAATCCAAGGGAACATAACTAACCCGGTATTTTTCTCCCCCTCAGTTCCTCAAAGATGGAATCCCATACATGAATGAGGTACAGGAGAAGGTCCTTAGGCAGCATCTCTTAGCAGGTAGCTGGACATTCCACAGGTGAGCACTATTCAGAGTGATGACTCCTCAGTACTGACTGTGTTGACGGCTCAGCTTCACTCAGATCACGTTTTGTAGAAATACTGAAGCCTGTTGGTCTGAACGCCTTGGTGCCAGCTGTTCCAGCATGCTGTGATCTCTCTGAAACAAAACTGAGATCACAGAATACGATGTGGAGAATTGGGTGAATGCTGGGAAACGATGCTTTTGCATTCCTGCAGCAAGGCACAAGGTTTCATCTGTAAAGAGCATTTCTCACACTTCCTCTTTCCCCCTCATCCAGCACTAGTGCTGCAAACAGGGATGTGCTGAGGAAAGTTATTGATGAAGTGACCTGTTGGATAGCTGTAGCAGAGGAAGAGGAGACTATGATTCTGCAGGATCTGAGTGGTATGAAACAGGGTGCCTCCCTTAGGCATCTGTGGGCTCTGAGTGGCTTCATCACTTCTGAACCTCTGGGGCTGCTACTGTCCTTTGCTGCCCGTTCTCTTAAACTGCTCTCTTGAGAGGGAAAGCACCAGTGCCCATCCTGCCTTTACAACTCTTTACCCAAGCTTACACCTCGATTCCTGTCAGTTCATTTCTGGGCTTTGCTTTTCTGCTCCATTGGGATGGTGGGTCTTTCCGAAGTGGAAGTGGATATCTGGGTGGTTGGAGCGTGCTTTGTTGCAATTGACTTCCATTTTATGCTTCTTCAGAGCAGCAACTGGAGAATTTGTAGTTGCTCTGAATCAGGATAACCTTTGACTTGTTTTAAGTCCTGGGTGATCTGTTTTTTTGTTTATTTTCTTCCCTTTGGAGAAGGGAAAGACAGGTCACCTTTCAGGTGCCCTCTCATGTCAAGCAACAAGGAGCACCATGGAGAAGCACACATACCCGTGGGGATAAACAGGCTACTTACCACCTATGTTAGGTTTTGAGAGCACTATAGCAGAGTTGAGGAATTTCTGTGCTCTTTTGAGGAAGTCGAAGGACGAGGAATTTTAGCAGGGAATAATTTGTAGGTTTGCTCACAGAATCCAAAGCTTAATCCTCTAGGTCAGGGAATAAAATACAGAAAAGCTGAGGAAGGACAGAGGGTATTCAAGGCTTTGTCTGTTAATGGGTTTTTTTTGCGGAGTTTGCAATACAAAGGTTGGGGACTCTGTTGTTTTTTATCTACTTGGTCAGCTGTAGTAGATATGATGTTGATAGTTAATAGAGTCTGGCAATGGTGAGCACCTGTGACAAGACATTATTTAAGTAAGGAGTAAGACAGATTAAGGCATCTCTTTGAATGCTGCTCAGAAGAGAACTGGATTAGTTATCAACTCTGGGGGAAAATGCATGGGTACCTCTCTTGTGTGGTTG